TCCATCACATGGTCCAATCAATGCACCGTCCCAACCGGAGATGCCTCCCAGTCATGCCACACCAGGTGCAGGCTGGATGTCCTTGATTCTCAGAGAAAAGAATGTTATTATGGCTAGATATCCCTGCAACTCCATGCAATCCCCCCTCCCAATTTCCCACAGCTCTAAATGTGGCAGCCCTGAAGATCCAAAGAAAAAGATGGCCTCCAGGGCTGACAGTAGGTCTTATAGGATCTGTCTATAATTTTCATGTACATTAAATTTGCTTACATAGATGTGTTTTAATGTATCAGTACAAAACTAGTTTGTTTTAAGAAGCCTTTGAAAACACTGGCTGTAGTATTTCTGAAACTTAGTCAAACACAGTTGAATTCTCTTTCTTTATTATGCTTGGAAAAATTAGATTTATTATTTTTAAGTTCCATTGGATACAGCAAGATACCAATTTTTGATAATAGATGACTTTTAAGACATTTTTATTTTTCGTGTATTTTGTGCATGTTGTCAGGAAAAATAATTCTCATTGGCTAAACCAAAAAGCAGAAGAAACTACTTTGAAAGCATACTTTTGGAAGAAAATTGTCATTGTTGTGCATGTGTCACACAAAGATGAAATCATAGATTTTTGTAAGGCTTTTGATACAGTAGTACATGATAAGCTGCTGTTGAAATTAAACTCTTATGGCATTTCCGGACTTTTGCACAAGTGCATTGCCGCTTTCCTGTCTAATAGACTGCAGAAAATCAAAATAGGAAAGTCGCTGTCTAATCCTGCCTCAGTAACAGTGGTGTTCCACAAGGCAGCATTTTAGGTCCCAGACTTTTATTGCTCTATATCAATGACTTATGTGATCAATTTAAAAGCAATTGTGTCCTGTTTGCCGATGACATAAAATTATTTAATACTACAGATAATTCTGTTGTTTTACAAAGTGATTTTTTTTTTTGCAAAAAGTTTTTTTTATTTTTTTTAACCAAACATACCAATTACATCTTCTCGGAACAGAGCTTTGATCTAGTCATCAATTTGTACAATTTTTTGTCATCTTTAACAAAATTTTATATATTCTCTTTTGCCATAACACTTATTTCTCAATCTTAAATCACATATTCAACTAATGCCATCTTAAAAAAAAGTTTACTCTTATTTACTTAATCAAAACAAATACCCTTCTATTAACCCACCTAAAATCTTAAATCAGTTAATAACTCATAGTACATTTATCAAATTTAAATCTTATCTCTAATCTTAAAAATATAGCAATTTAACATTTAACATTTAGACATAGTTCTTAATTAAAATAATGCTATTTAAATTTTCTTTTCTTTTTTTGCTTAAGTAAAAAATGTTCAAATTATTACAATTGTTAGACATATTTAAACAATATCTCAATTATTATAGCTATCAATTTTCTCAAACAATACCTTCCAATATCTTAATAAAAATTGATTCATTATTTCCATTTATATATTTTCTTTTTATATAATCTAATTTTACCTTTTCTTTTATCCTTCCACTGTTAATCCCAGTATAATCAACTTTATTTTTTTTTCACCGATAATCCCAGTGTAATCTCTAGGAATCTTCTTTTATTATTCTACTATTAATCCCAACATAATCAACTTTTACTTTTGTAAATATATTATTCAAACATATTCAAATTATTGCAATTGTTATAGGTATTTAAATAATATCCCAATTATTATAGCCATCAACTTTCTCAAATAATACCTTCTAACATCTTAATAAAAAATTAATTCATTATATTTATTGCTATATTTTCTTTTTTCTTTAATATAGTCTATTTTCCATATATTTTAGTTTCAATCCATATTTCATTTCTAAATATCTGTAACATATTTCTTCTCACATTTGTTGATCTCAATATAGTCATTTTATAAATCCAAATCCTGGACTTTTTTATTTCCCTTAATATTTTCCAACCTTTTATTTTTTTATCATTCACTGTTAATCCCAATATAATCATCATTATATTAGTATTAATCTCAATATAATCATCTTTTATGTTATTGTTAATCTCAATATAATCTCTAGAGACCTCCTTTTTATTATTACTGTTCACATATTCAGTTATTTATTCATATTTAATCATAATATCTTTATCTTCTTTATTTTCCACTTCTGTGTCTTATTTCTCCATCTTCATTTTCTTGTCCACTTGTGTATACTCCATTTCAACTTTTATGTCCTCAAATTTTTGTCCTCTGTGTGACTTTATAGTCATTCCTCTTATTTCCATTCTCCAAGTCAAATAAATCAATTTGTTCCTTCTCTGATTCCTATGTCCTTTTTCTTTTTAGTTAATATTATTCCTATTATAAGAGTTCCATTGTATTCCCTTCTTTTTATTTTTTTATTCCTCCAAAATCAAACCGCTTGTAGACAAGAAAATCCTCCTCCACAAATTCTCACGGGTGTTATCTGTGAAGTTCACCATTTTCCAAAACAAAAAACCAAGTTGCAATGTTCCTTTTTGCTCCAGATGCTGTCTCTCTGCAATCTACAATTCCAATTGCTTAACAAGTATCCATTTTGTTTCAATCACATCACGATCTTACTTAGCTTCTTTTTTCCTTTTTCAGTTTAAAAATATCAAGTCATATTTAAAGTCCAGTCCAAATTTAAGTAGCTCTGCTCACTTCTTTTTCCCTTTTTTCCCCCTTTTATTTATACATCACTTTTCTTTTTAAAGCTCGTTATTCATTCTTTTTGTTTTTCTTGCAATTTAAAAAAGAAAGGGGGAGGGGAAAGGGTCTCTTTATTTCCTTCCAATCCTTTGACCATATCTAATTGTTTAAAATTCCCAAATAGTTTGTTCAGAAATCAATTTTCTATTGGGTTTTTATCTCTTTAAAGTTACATTTCAAAATCTTCTTTGCCCCCATGCTCCTATTAGCTATTAGCTCATTAGGGGTCTTATAATTGTAAGATGTTTCTCTTGTTGTTATTTCAAGCCTGGGTTGGCTGTCACTCACCTGGCTTCAAAAAGACTCCATTCCATTCCTCTCCTCTCTCCAGCTCTATACTTAGTCTGGTTATCCCACCTTCGTGACAGCCGCCATGGCTGCCGTCCCCCGCTGCCGACTCACAGAGAGTTCCCTCTGACCTCCAAGGAACTTGCCTGTTCCTCTTGGTTGTCTGAGGTGCCTCTCTTTCTTCCCCATCCCTACAGGACGGTTCTGGTCTGAAGACCCATCAGCAGCAGTTTGTCAGCCGGGGTTTTCACAGATTTCATCGGAGCCCGCTAATTCCCCAACTGTCCCACCGCAACGCCAAACTGGAAGTTCCTTTACAAAGTGATCTTGACTATGTGTCTGAATGGTCATCATTTGGCAACTTCAAATTTTGATTAATAAAAGCTCTGTCTTGCATATTGTAAATGTAATCAGAATGTCAAGAATAAGCTAAGTGATATTGATCTAGCAGACGACCCTCACTTTGTCAAGGACCTAGGTGTACTTATTTCTGATGATCTATGTTCCAAAGTTCATTGTAACAGCATTGCTAAAAAAGCCTTGAGTTGTAAATTTAATTTTGCAAAGCTTTTTTCCTGGAAAATCATATTACTAATTAGATCTTATTAAACGTATGCAAGACCAATCTTAGAGTATTGCTCAACTGTTTGGAATCTCTACCATATATCTGACATCAATTTAATCGAGCGGGTTCAGAAGTATTTCACGAGAAAGGTTTTGCACTCTTCTGTACACAGTTACTAGGCTCGAAATTCTCGGTTTGGATAACTTAGAACTGTGTCACTTGTGGTGGGACCTAGGTATTGCATACAAAATTATACATAGTAATGCTTTACCTGTAAAGGACTTTTTTTTGTTTTAATCACAATAATATGCATGCATATTATTGTGATTTCTGTAATAGAGTTGTCAAAGTCTGGAATGCTGTACCTGATCCGGTTGTCTCAGCTACAAATTTTCATAGTTTCAGTCACAAATTGACTTCCGTGGAACTTACTTCATACTTAAGTGGTCAGTAGAAGGGGCATGCATAAGTGCAGTAATGTGCCTATCATCCCTGTCATTGTATTTTTCTTTTATTCTTGTTCTCATTTTCATTTGGCAAATTCTAGTAAATAAATAAATGTTCTTCACAATTGCAGAATTGTATAAAATACATTAGAGATGTGGCTTTTAATTTTTATCTGCATATAAAATGGACAGGTCCAGCTGAAGTTATAGTGTTTATTCATAATTTATGTTTGGACTCATAGGAACATAGGATTAAACTAATACATTAGCCATCAAAGGCAATATTATTCCCCTAACTCTTGAGAAAAAGTTAACAGTGATCTCAAGCCACCAAGAAGAATCCAGTGCTTTAATTAAACATATGAGTTCCAAGGAGTTAAAGTTGTGCAAGCCTTATAGAATTTTACAGGTAAGATTGCAACTAATTAAAATTGTATATTTAGAATTTCTCTGAACCATCATTTCAATTAGTTTTAATTCATTTATTATGGAATTCTTAGCAAACATCTCAGCCACAGTAATGTGCTTGTTCTTAATAGCTTTTATCACCAAAATGGCTTATTGTCACAAAGAAATATGATGAATAATAAATATGATGAATAAATAAAACAGTGTTTTGCACACAGGTGTCAAATTCGTGGTGTCAAGTTGCCATAATGTGATGTTTCACAATGTATTTTTCCCTTCATGGAGTTGGGGTGGGTGTGGCCTGCACGTGACGCATCCAGCCTGTGGGCCATCAGTTTGACAACCCTGGATAGCACATGAACTGAACACTTATGTTTAGAAAGCAGTAGTTTCCATCTTCATACCCTTTGCAAACATCAAAGAAATTTAAAAGAGGGCTGCAAAGTTGGGTAGCCTGGTTCAGCTCAGTCTATTTAAAGCGGATCGTCTCCTCTACTGTATGCAGCAGCTATTTGGGTTCCATAATAAAAGTAGTATTTGAGTGTAAGACATGTTTAACTGTTCTCTCCATTGTTTATCTTCAGATCTGCATAACTTCAGAAAAGGAACATGACGGGTTTATCAAAGTATGCAGTGGGAAAAAAAAGGGCTTTGTCCCAGTAGACGTCTTAGAAAACATCTGAAATTTGCCCACACAGCAACTGCAGTACAGTAGCAAAGCTTTGCCAGGAAGACCTGTCTGCTTCATTTTGCACTGTGTCTACCCAAACAAGCTGTCATGGAGATGGCTAGGGGAATCAGAGACAACCACAAAGACCAACTGCTATCAAGCATTTAGTTGCTTTGAAGCAACAAACAGTGATCAATAACAAAATGTAAATGTATTATTAGAGAAAGAACCAAATAAAGGTGGTATGAATCTTAGGGGAGGGGTGGGCTGCTTTTTTAGACTAGTAAAAAATTAAACTTGATGGTGGGTTTTGTTTTCTTTTGTTTCATTTTTTTTCCTGAGCAAAGCTACTTCCCGTGTTTCTCTGAAAATAGGACCCTATACATACATATATATTATACTTATTATATAAGTATAAGTATATAAGTATAATTGTTATATGTGTGTTTGTGTGTGTGTGTGTGTGTGTGTGTATAATGATTCCATACATATTTTGTGGACAGTATATTGACTAGGCCAAGTATTTTTTAAACAATGCTAACAATAATAGTACAAATAAGTATGTATAATCCTAATCTGCCAACTTCAACAATATTATACTCTCTTCATAATCCTTTATCATTTTCCCATTAATCATCTAAACATAGGTAACATTTCTCTACACTATGTATTTGTTATCTCCTACTAAATTACTATTATTTAATATTTTAAGATTACTCATTATTCCACCATAACTTCAATTTTCCAAATGTGTAGGATTATTACTAATGCCAAATATTAACAATATTTAATCAATCCCGGGAGTGTATCTCAAAATCCCCACAATTTCCAATCCTTAATATTTTAAATTCACAATATATTTTTAACACACTATTAATATTAATAATACAATTAAATTACCAAATCCTACATTTCCATCTACTAATCTTAACTTATTTTTAGTTTTAATAAGTTATATTATCTATTAATATATATACTACTATTTTTTCTATTTGTATTTTTCCATTTTATTAATATATTCTCTCATTATCCATCATCTCTTAACCTCTTTAAAATTCCATCATTTATTGACTTTTTAGTAAGCCTTTTATCTCTCTCTCTTGGAATCTTGTAGCTTTCTGCTGTATTATTTGAACACCTATCAGCAAGACTTCTCTTTTTTTTAAAGAGATTTTTCTTTTTTCTCTAAATCTTTCCTTTTTTTGAAGATATTTTTTTCTTTTCTCTCTGTTCTATTATAAGCTTTAAAGGAGTTATTCAATTGATTTCTACTTATTAATCCTTTCTCTTCTTTATTTTTAGCTTCTTGCATCTCATTTTGATTTTCTCATTCCACTACTTCTTCTAATTTTTCATCTATTACTTGAGTATTGCGTTCCTCTTTTTACCCCAATTGTTGAGTGAAATGTTCTACATTCATTTCTGTGTCTTTAAACAATCCCCTTGTCTTCTTATTGTTCTTTATAGATTCATGCACACTTTGTAGCATAAAAATATTTCTTCATATGCCTCTATTATCCTCTGTAAATCTATTTTATAACAAATTAATAAAAAATACTCAGTGTATTTCTATAGTTCCAATGTCTCAATATTTAAAAACTCCTGCTTAATAAAATTTCATCAATCCCATAATTATCCAAAACCCCTAAATTTATTATCTTTAAAATTCTTTAATAATTTACAGTCTTATAGTTTTCCAGTTATATATCTTCCCAATTGTCCAAATTTTAAAGTCTTATTTAACTTTCCTTCTTTTCTCTTTTCTTCTGTCACCTTTCTTCTTTTGTCTTATAGAATGGTCTGTTGAATAACATTAATAGTCCAAATCCAAGTTAATCCACTAGATTCCTCCAATCTTTCAGATCCATAATCCACTAGCTAATTTTAATAAAGTTTCGTTATTTGCAGTTTAGCTCCTTTTAAAAATCTTCAGAAGGAAAAAAAACTCATTAAATATTCTCAAATTATCCAAGTCGTCTTCTAACAGTAAAGTCAAGGTTAGGCCATCTTCCAGATGTTATTACTTCTATTCTATGCATTAGACTTTGTGTGTATTGAGTTGACTTTCATTGAGTATAGTGTAGCTATAGTGCTGTAGTACTTCTCTTCTTCCAGTAGATGGCTCTTTTATTCCCAAATCCAACGTTAAACAGTCTGTCAAAAACAGCTGATTATCCAATAAATCCAGGGGGTTCAAAAATACAAATAAACAAGACAATTTCTCCAGAAAATCACCTTTCGAATTGTTTAAGCTTTTTTCAAGCTTTCTGTGTTTTAAATTCCCTTGGGCTTCTTTTGCCTCTTGATTTTCAGGGTTTTTTTCTCCATGTATTTAGTCATCACTTTCTTAGGCTTGAGAGTTATCTTTTAAGATTTTTGTACTTAAATCAGGTCTTAGAGTAAAAGTTGGTAATTATCTCACCCAGTTCTTATGCTCTGCCCATGAACCGCTCCAGCACAAATCTTGTGGTCCCAGTTGTCCCAGCTTGTGACTGCCAAAAATGGCTATTGCCCCTGCTGTTATTTGGGAAAGCTTGCTTCAGACCTAATGAGGAAATTGTGAATTCCTCATGGTCCAGCGAAGCACCTCTCCTTCCTTCACCACTCCTACAAGGCAGCTATGACCCTGTAGGGTCTCCCGACAGTGGTTACTGGCTGTATTTCATGAGCCCCCTTGGAGCCCGCTATTTTCCAGCCATCCTGGCTGCAATGTCAATTGGAAGTCCTATAATATATATATAACTTCATATGTGTGTGTGTGTGTGTGTGTTTTCTGAGGATTTCGCGGGTGTTTGTATGTGGGTCTTTGGTTATTTGGGTTTTCTCCCACATAAAATTGGAAGTGTCTTGGTAACGTTTCGACGAAGTCTCATTTGTCATCTTCAGGCTGGTGTTTTCAGCTTCATGCTTCTAGGAACAATGTGAGATCTCAGCTGTTTCTTCCTTTTAACTGCTAGTGGGGCTGGGAACTGATTGGGTGGGAACTTGGCTGTGTTCTGATTGGGTGGAGGTGTGTTCTGATTGGTTGGAGGTTTGGCTGTGCTCGTGTTAGTCTGAGTTGCAGGGGGATTTGAGCTGGTGAGCTGCATTGCTGTTGTTTGGCTTTGCGTTCGTGGTCATGCCACATTTTCATAATGGGTGTCAGTTTGCTTCATGTATGGATTGGAGTTATTTAAAGTGGCTAATGATGCAGCTGTGGTCTGGCTTCTGGTTTGTGGTCGTGCCTCATTGGTTAGGGTTTGCTTTTTGCGTGGATGTGTTGTGGTGACATCCTGTGTGATTTTCATGAGTGTGGGTCTGGTGTCATTCTTTGTGTTAAGGACTCGTTTGTCAATAAGGGCGGGTTTTCAAATGGCTGGTAGGCAGGAGATATCATCTCGTTTATTCATGCTGTGTGGGCGTTTTTTCTATCTCGATGGCTTCTCTGATTATTCTGTTGTTAAAGTATTCAGTTTTGGCGATAGTTATTGACTTTTTAAAGTCAATATCATGTCCTGTGGCTTTAAGGTGTTGGACCAGGAAAGAAGTTGGTTCCTCTTTTCTGACTGAGTTCTTGTGTTCTTCAATGCATGCACTTATTCTTCTGTTGGTTTGTCCGATGTATGTGGTGGGGCAGGCAGTGCATGGGATTTCATATACTCCTTGATTTTCTAACTCAATTTTGTCTTTGGGGTTTCTTAGGATGGTGGATATTTTTTGGTTTGTACAGAATGCTGTCTTGATGTTGTGTTTGTGGAGGATCTTGCTGATTCTGTCTATGGTGCCTTTTATGTATGGGAGGAGGGCTTTGCCATTTTCTTGTTCTCTGTCTTGGGTTTTAGTGGGAGTTTCTTTTTGGATTAGGTTGGTAATCTTATTTTTTTGGAATCCATTGGATGTTAGTACATTAGTGTGTAGTTCGGTTTTTAGGTGTTGTTCGTCAGCTAAGCGTTTTGCTCTGGAGATGAGTGTCTTGGCTACGGAATTGATCTGTGCTGGGTGGTGGTGTGAGAGTGCATGCAGATAGCGGTTTGTGTGTGTTTTCTTCTGGTAGATGGTGTGTCCTAGGGAGCCATTGGATTTCTTGTAGACTAAGACATCCAGGAAGGGAAGTTGGTTGTTAGCTTCTGTTTCCATGGTGAACTGTATTTTGGGGTGTAGGCTGTTGAGGTGTGTGAGGAAGTTGTCCAGTTTTTCCATCCCATGTGGCCAGATTATGAAGGTGTCGTCTACGTATCTGAGCCAGAGTTTGGGTTTGTGATCAGATTTTTCTAGAGCTTGAGTTTCAAAGTGTTCTAGTGGAAAAAAACCACTAGATCCAAAATAAAAGCCTCCCCCATCAGCGAAGAGATCCAGCAAAGAATCATTCCCAGAGAGAAATCATCCAGATGCCCTAAACTCTATGGTCTCCCCAAGATACACAAAGAAGGAACCCCACTTAGACCCATAGTTAGCTCCTTAGGCTCACCTCTACAAAACCTAACCAAATTTCTCGCCAAACAACTACAGCCCTATGCAGAATCCATCACCTCACACGTAAAAAACTCATTCCAGTTCATAGAGATCATAAAGAAACAAAACTTACAGCCCAGTGACCTACTCGTGAGCTTCGATGTCATATCCCTCTTCACCCAAGTGCCAATCAAAGAAGCCTTGACAGCTATCCAAAACAAATATAACACCCCCAAGCACATCCTAGATCTGACCAACCACTGCCTATCCAACAAATACTTCATCTATAACGGACAAAAATACAAACAAATAGAAAGAGCACCCATGGGATCACCCCTCTCACCTGTCATTGCAAACCTCTACATGGAACCTCTACATGTATTTTAGTATGCAACGACTAGATAATATTATATAATCATTTGTACATGCTATTGTTTATTTCAATGCAATATATTGTCATTCTGCCCTATTTAACTGCTTCTCTTAGTTCAATTTCTCCTTCATTCCTGCCTTATAGGATAAATATTAATATCAGTTTCAATTTACAATGGCTTTTAATTATTGTCATTTATTTTGATACTAAGCAATAAAGTGATTTTTAAAAGACTCTTGGCAGGGTGGGTTCTAAATTTTTTTACTACTGGTTCTGTGGGCATGGCTTAGTTTGTGGGTGTGGCTTCCTGGTCATATGACTCAGCGGGCATGACTTCTTGGTCATGTGACTCAGCAGGCATGGCTTCCTGGTCATGTGACTCGGCAGGCATGACTTCCTGGTCATGTGACTCGGCGAGCATGAGTTCTTTGCCCTAATGAATGACCTACAAAAAGAAGTTATACAAAAAGGTAGTTTATTATTTTGTGCACTTACTTATTTACATAAGAATAAAATAAGTACACAATAAAAGAGCTACACAAGTACTTACAGAACGATGAAAAC